TAAATTTTATTCCGCCATTATTGGTAAGCCTTTGGGTTAGGTTGGTTTAGATAAGGTCGAAGATTAATCAAACAGGCTTTGATTGGTGCTGTGATCCTCTATAAGAAAAACTAATAAGCCGAATAAAATTAATACTTAAAAATCGATTAATGCTAATTCCTATAGGAATTATATTATTATAGATAATATATATCTATAGATAATATCTTATCCTTATCCCCAGTTCATATTTCGTGTAACAATAATAATCATAATACTGTGTCTGCCCTGACCATCATTTATTTATTATTCTATCTCCTTTTATTCGACGTACTTTATTTAAATATGTGCATAACTTCTGGACAGATGCACCCCAAGCACCTGCAGCATCCTTGAAAAAAAACACACTCACACAAAAAATAAAGAAAACCCAAAATATATATGTTATAAAAAAGATGCCAACGTACAAAAGCATTTTTTCCGAGCTCTGCTCTCCGCTTCTGACTGCATATTTCATAGCAAAACAAGAAGAAAAACGGCTAGAAAATACAAAAAGTGGAGAAAAAATGAAAATGCTAAACAAAGAAAATAAAAGCAAGCGGCGAGCTATACAAAAAATGGGCGCAAGGCAAAACTAAAAGCCAAAAGAAAAATGCCGCGCTTTGGCCAAGAGTAGAGTGCAGGGATCTGTGCTCTGGGGTCAGGGGTCACAAAGGAGGGGTTCAGTTCGCATTATTTTGTATTACAGCGTCCCCTGTACATTCAGTACTGGACCCCCATCCGCCCCTCCTCCCCTCTCCCACCCGGAACCCCGGCTCAGCTTGTATTGCAATTTTTCAATTTCAAAAACAATTTTGCTCTGCCAACATACGTGTGGTCAAAGATAAGCTCTGTAAATATATATAACAAAACAACCAAAATGAATACGGCCAACGAGGAGGGCTGTAAAAAAAAAAGAAAAGCGGCGCCCGCCATAAAAACCAAAAAGCGGCAGCCAAACCAAAGCTAACCGCAGCTCAAGCAGCTATTGCAGCAGCTCAAAACTGGCCAAAGCCAGAAAGGCGGTCAACTAAACGAAAAAAAAAACACGAGTCGAAATACCAAAAATAAAAATGCTATATGGGTGGACTTTCTATGGTGTGGGCGAGTGTCAGCTTGGAACACAGCGGGAAATTGCACAAAAATGAATTGTGTTGTGCAGCATTTAGTGCTGAAATATAAGTGACCTGCTGGGCGGGACAGCTGAAAAGGGGGCCCGGCGATTTCAGGGGGTCCGCAAAGGGGCTTCTGGGCGACTGCCAGGCTTCCTCAGCTTTGTTGCCGGATTGATTGAATTTTCCTTGCCACCGCCAGCTTAAACCAGGCAAAGTTACAGCAAGTGCGGAATTTATTTCGACTTGAAAATCACAATGGTTCTTAAATCACTCACAAAGGTGTCTAAAAGTATGCAACAATATATTTAGTACATATTTTTAGACACTTTTTTGGGTGATTTCAAAACTCTAGTGTTTTTGTGGCATTCGTCATAAATTTCGTTAAGTGAAAGCCGACACTGTTGAAAATATTTATAAAATCTATCAAAATTATTTTTAACTTAAATATTTAGTAAAAATATGACAGACAGACGTTTATAAAATACATATATATGCAATAAATAATTGAAATTAGCTGAGATTTTGATTTATGTCGTACACACGTGAACTGTCACACCTAAACCTTAAAATTTCTTTAAATGACAGTATATCAAATTGAATTGCTGCTGTTGCCGCAAGTGTTGCTGCTAGTGTTGCTGCTGGGATTGCTAATGTTGCTCCTGCTGGCATTGCTATTGCTGCTGAATTCTCAGACCGCATGCACAAAGCAGCTTGCCAAGTGGTCAAGTGCATTAATGTCCTGTTTTGTGGTTAGCGCAATGCGTCGGAGTTATTACGGTGGTGGGCTGGTGACAAATGCAGCAAGAGAAGCACTAAGCAGAATCTCCGTAGTAAAATCATTCGTAAACACTAACATAACTATTGCGTGTTGGCTTTGACAGAAGCGAAGAAGTTGCATTGCCTTTGTGGGGAATTATTGCCTTGGCGACGGAGCTGCTTTACTTTTTTAGAGCTCATCTGTCTGGCAAATACGGTATTAAATGTAACATTCTATGGCAATAATAATACAATTTAATCCAAAGTAGTTTTTGTTTTACTTCATACATATTCTTCAGGACTTTCCACACAGCAAAAGGTAAAGCAATCTTTTTGGGCACTCAATTTAAAATAAAACCCGGCTTGATTAATTCGAAACTTCGCTTCGAATGAAACCCTTTTTTCGTCGATGGCGAGGCAAATGTTCTGATCCGTCGGTGAGTAAGTGCATCAGCCATTGGCGGAAATCGAATTTATTTGGGGCTTTCGCCGTCCTGCGGCAACAGTGCGTATGTGCAATGTGGCTTTGCCAACGCCAAATCGCAACGAAAGCGCCAAGCAAATTGACAAAAGCAGGGCGCCAGTCGTCGCCCAAAGGCACTCAGCGGTTGTGGCGGCAGCAATAACACAAAACCGCAAATCCCTAAGCCGCTATAACATTTCTCAAACGCTGCCAAACGGGCTGGCCCCCCCGGGGCTGTCGGGGTGGCAGGGGTGAAAGTGTAGCCAATCGGGGCATCGAAACCGGCGTAAGCCGCTAACAGAAGCAGAAGCAGCTGCAGATGTAGCTGCAACTGCAACTGCATCCACAGCCATGAGAACCAAGCCAAGCGGAGCATGGCGAAGGCAAACAAAAGCTTAGCGGGCATAAAAACAAAATGCCAAATGCGAAATGCGCCTCACCGAACAGCGAGATCCGCAGAGCCACCCAAACCACCCGACGAAACCCAAGTCCAATCGAAGGCAGAAGCAAATCAAAGCAAATGCAACACTCAATTGCCATTATCGACGACGCCATGGCAGCTCGGCTAAGGGCTGCCTTTGAAAACAGAAATGAAAATACCCCCAATGAAAACGTAACTGCTTTCAGCCCAAAGATCTCCGACGATTGCTGCTGGCTTTCCCTGCCAGGATTTTTATATTAAAAACCGCTTAATGGAGTGCAACTTATTGCATGTGCACTAGAAGGAGACAGAACGGTTTCGCCGTCTGAAAGGAGCTGCGCAGAATTGCAATAAAAATTAAATGAAAACGCCAATGAAATTTCCCTTCGGCCCACCGGCAATAAAAATTCAATGGCCAAGATAAATAGTTTTTGAGTTTAGCAAAGCTTTTAAAATCAATTGGTGTCGTTATGTAACATAACTTAAAATTTGTTTTAAGTTGAAATTTGTTAAAATAAGAGGCGAATCTAAATCGCAAGCTGATAAAACTTCTGACCGAGAGACAGAAATCGTTAAAATTATATTATTCAAAATCAATTCTAGCAGTTTGGCATGTAAAAGCGATATGCTTACCACAATTTACCACGCACATTTTCTGGCTATTAAAAATCAATTTTTAAAGTTTCGTAAAACACTATATTTTACAGATTGTGCAGTAAAAGCCGGCTGCAGCTTTATCAAATTTGTGTAGCCATAAAGTAACCCATAATCTGGGAAGCCGCCGGTGTTGATCACATTCTCGGCCAATGGCCCACACACTTCCGCCAGGGCTGGCATCTCGTATGCAGCACACTTTGCCTCGCATGATGGAGCAAGTGGGTCAGGTGTATAGGCAGGAACCTATCCACCTATCCCAACCCACCTGTCCCACCGAATAAGTGAGTTAAGAAGCACAGGCAAGAAGCTGCCTCTTTTTTGCTGTTCTTTAATTTGAAAAAATTGTCAAGCATCAAAATACTCTTAGAGCTTTCCTCGGCCCGAGGCGGTGGAAAACGGGAGGATGGAGGAGCCCAAGTTACTTGGGCAAGTTACTTGTCAGCAGCCGCGTGCGGTGCGTGCAAATAAATCAAATAAATTATGGAAAAACCAAAGTAAAGTGTGAGAAATGGTGGCGAAGCTCTCCCTTGCTCAATCCCTGGCCTATTCATATGCTTATGCTGATGCTGTAACCTACAGGAAAAAAAAAGAAAAACAGACAAGAAATGGAAAATCAGACTAAAAGTGTGAAAATTCCTGTTGGCGGCGTTGCAGCAACAGCATTTGAAGCAGTAGCAGCAGCTGGAAAAAAGGAGTAACACCGACCCATAAAAAATAGCAGCAACATCATAATCAACAGCAAAAAAATATTAATGGAGTTTTCATGTTTATAATGTCATTAGCTCACAAATGCTGCGGATGCTGTGGAAGCTTATGTTACTGTTGCTTTTGCCGTTGCCTCTGCCGTTGCTGTTGCACATGTGCCGTGATTCCCTGCCACATATTTTCAGTGATTTTTTCACTCCTGCCACCTCCTTGGGCCGCACATCCTTTACGCGCACACAGAGACAGCCGTAAACATGCAGCACACACATAGACACATCTATAAATGTGCGAACACTAATGTGCACATTATGTTGGGGCCATTATGCCGGGTTCTCTGGGTTCTCCCCGATCTCTCCTTCATGGCAAAGCCAAGGGGCCAGGAGCTGCCCACCAGACCATGCACAATGAGTTGGTGGTTTGGCTGCTCGGCTGCTTGGCGACGGGGTGGCGCTTCTACCAGTTAGCAAGTAAAAACCCTTTAACTCATTTGTTTTGCTTAGCACAGCGGCAACAGCAAAAGCAACAAATGGGGGAGCTTGTGAATGCGAAAAGAGGGCGGCGGCTTGCCTGTGTAAAACAGAAGGCGTGTGAAATAACGTTTAGCTTGACTTAATGGGCCAAGATGTACACAAAAACACACCATTTATTTGACAAAAAGTCCAAGATTTTTGAGTATTTTTGCAAACTAAAACATATTTTTAGAATAATATGTTAAGAATAGGGTAAGTCCAGTAAACGTTTTAATTAAGAAATTAGAATTACAAATTTATTTGATTTTACAGTCCTTCCTTTTTCAATAAATAATTGTTAAATGTTATTAATTACATTTTTGTTGAGTAAAATATGCATTTATGTTCAAACTTTGTATTAGATTGGCCTGATGCTAAAAGCATACATAGTTTCTCTTTTCATAACTAATGTCAGTCTGATCCTCGAAGATCCGTCATGGAGGGCGCACTTACGGGCAGATCTATTTGGTCCCTCTGATAGCCCTCACAAAACTTAAGCCCCGCAAAGTGCTCAATGTCACGAACATCACATAAAAATGATCGCAGATCCATTTCCTTGTCGACATCGGCATTTGGCACTACATAACCTTCCATTAGGGGTAAATCGCCTTCTTCACTATCGTCCCTAATGATCACCTTAAAAAAATGAGTTGGAACAGCGACCGTGTTCATGCCCATCACGTGATGACGTATTGACCAGTTTCGGAACGTTATCCTTTGCGGCATAAATAGAGGACCGGTATAAACGTAGACTGAACCAAATCTGAGCGCCATTTCCCTAACACGGTTTTCCAAGCGAAGCCAAATGTGGTTTTTTAGCCCCCTATTGATGGGTACGATGTTGGGAAACTTGTAGGCTTCCGTAAATCTCAGTATATCGCATTTGTAGTTTTGCGGCGAGGCCAAATGACCGCCAACCCAATCGCTATTTTTAAAGTCCCGCATATTAGCACTGAACATTGGCGGTATGGTGTTATCCGTTAGGTATTCATTCGGTTTGTGCAACGTCTTAAGATCTCGGATCCTTAAACAGTCCGAATTGAGGTGCTCACATACCCAATGGGCAATACGATTGCGACGATCGTAGGAAAGAACGAAATTTTTGTAGACATGAATTTCATCCATTCCTGGAAAGCCGTACTTCATAATTCCAGCCACATGAGCGATTTCCTCATGCGGATAGCCATCTTGTCCCACGGAAAATGTCATGAACATGATCTTAAAGAACCTTCAGTCACAATCGAGTCTCGTTTTCCCATATTAATTTGGACTCACTGCTTTATACGCCCTTGTCCGACTCCACAGAATAAATTGATCAAAAATCGATATACTATCTTGCCGTTCCGATCCCCTTTCTGCAGTGATTTTAGCCTTCCCTTCATTACTTATTATGGATCCTTTGGCCTTGCGGCCAAGAAAAGCTAACTGAAATATAAGTCTAAATATTTCATCATATAATAAAATACGTTAACTTACGGCTCTGAAAATATGTTTGCGGCATTGAAAAACATAGGGATCAGTGACCATAATAGTTCTTATTTTTCTATATGAGACATGTTGTTGGACAAGAGCCCCCAAAATAAAACCGGCAACTCCCGTTACAGCACACAATGATACCACCACATATGTTGACATTATAAGCGAAATTTTTTATTGAAATTTCAGAGTTTTTTGGAGGTTAATATACATTTTAGATAGATCCCTTGACGGGGGTTAACTAATCATGTTTATCGACAATTTAAAAAATTCAATTTAGAAAATATGTGAGGAAAAATAAAAACTTTTCAAAATTTTGACAATTTAAGCAAATATATTCTGATTTTTTCAAATGTTTCTTTTTGGCTAATATCCCTTTTGTTTATCCCTTTATTCATTTTGTAAGGAATTTAAACGTGTCGTCTGCTTATTGGTGACTATTTGCACTTTAACCCCAGCTCGTAAATATTATGAGTAATGTGAACTTAATGACTTGACATACTTGTGAGCAAGTTTAATGTATTTTAAAGTTACTTCCCACGCATATCGAAGGCATCTTTGAGCCCAAGAAAGTTGCCTGCTTAAAGTGAGTAGAACGGAATTTTTTGCTAATTCATGACAGAATCTGTAGCCCCAAATAGAAACCACCCCCTTGGCAACCACAACAAAAGCTAGCATTTTCCGCTCCCTTTCGCGACGTTTTTCTACTTTATAATGATAACATTTTCATGTTTTACAATGTTGTAATGCCTTGATATGAGTCCCAAAAGCGGCATCCTGCCCTATACAATGTTTTTATGACGTCATTTAGGGGTTAATGTATGGGAGTGTGCGCGTCATGGTGGATTCATTAATTTTGAGAAGTTTTCAAAACTATTAACAGCAACAATCTTTCCACAGAGGCATTGGGATTTTGTCAGCTGAGGTCTCCGAGTTTTCGTTGTCAATTAACATTTTTAGGAGAAAAGCGCTGCCTGCACGACTGCATTATTAAAGAGCCCAATCAGCCTTGGCCGGAAACGGAAGTGAATTTCAAGTTTTTATTTCTACACTTCCCATGGGGAAACTTTTTGGGGAGCGGGATGGGGAAAGTGCACGTTTACATCCGCGTTTAGTTCGCCTTTGTTTGAGGCCAGCAAAGTTAGCGCATTTCATTTATTCATGCCTCCTTGACCAGGCCCATTGCCCCTCTTTCCCTTTTCCTTTTTCCCCTCCCCCTTAACATTTGTTGCGCTTTCCCGTATTTTCCTTTTTCTCGAAGGAAACAGGAAGAGGCAGCATGTCGCGTCCTGTGCTAAATGTAATTTTCCGTTGTTAAATCCTGTTTTTCAAAACTTCTTTCCAAAGTGCAAAGGAAGTCAACTCGAGCAGACAACAAGCAAAACGTAACTAAAAAAAAAAGGAAGGGAGATGAAAAACAAAAGGAAAATCTGCAGTGCCACGAAGAAATATCAGACAGTTGAGGAGAGAAATAAATTACTTGGCACTCATCATCTCTTCAGCTGCAACGTGGACAGAGGCAATTTCTTCAAATAGGAAAATCAAATCCTTGGAAAAGTACAAAAATAATAGCTGTGATTAATGTCGTTTTAAGGGAGAGTCCACATAAAAATACAAAATTACTCCTTGCAGATATATTTCAATGCACGAAGTAAATACGATGCAAATTCTTTATTTCCTATATACAGCTATTATCCTTTTATCAAAAATGTATTTTTAAATTATTTTAAAATTCATTTAAATACCCTTAACAATATTTAATGTTTTCTTTTAACTCAATTGTAACTGTATTTTATTCATATTTTTCTTAATTTCAATTCTCGCCTGCTTAATATATTTCCTCTCCCAAAAATGGCCCTCCTCCTTCGAGAGTTATGGTCCAACTCGATGGTAAATATTGTTCAAAGCCACGCCCAACTAATTACAACTTCTTATGTCCCGCAACACATTTACTTTAATTAAGTTATTTGCCCCGCCCTTCGTGGGTTCATTTTGGCTGGCCAAAATGACAAATGTTCGAGGGGGAACGCCTACCGAAAAAACTTTACAGCAGCGCGTAAGCAGGTCATAGTTTTTATATGTGCGAGTACATCTCCTGACTGACAGCCCCTCCTCCTCCTCATCCATCCTCTCTCTTCCTTTGGCCAGGACTCACTCTGTCCCCGAGGTCTTTGTCCACTTGCCAGGAAAACAAATTTACGGCATTGCTTTTAGTTGTTCCTCGTTATTGTTGTTGCACATTTGAAATGTACATAATAATTCACACTCTCTGGGTTGCGAGAGGGTCGTGGAGGGGGCTGGAGGGGGGCCACGCACAAATCTACGCCAAAAGTAAAGTCATAAGAAAATGCATAAAACATGCCCAACATTCGCCGTCAACGTCGCCAACACTTCAGCTGCCTGCCTGCCTGCCAGGCAAAAACTTTTCTCATCATCAACCACAAACAAAGGCCAAAACAATGGGAGAGCAAGCAAGACGGCAACATGGACTAGAGCGAGAGGAAGCGAGGGGGGCCCGAAAAAAGCTGAAGCCCGAATCGGTGGACCAGGCCGAAAACATAAATTGCTGCAGGACAGAATATTGTCCACACTGGGGGAAAAATTCCTTCTCAGCTATTATTTCCTGAAGAATATGCAGGGGTTCTGATTTTTTTTGAAACTATACTATTTTTGTTTGTTTTTTCACCAAATAAAACGTTTATTAAAATCCTAAGAATCACATTTAAATTGCTATGATTTGTAAAATATCTAAACTAATTTTTAAAAAATCTTTAAACTTTTACTTTCTTATAATTTTGACGAAATGGAAGCTGATTTCTTAACCAAGGAGCTACCAATCTTGTTCCAGTTAGCTTTATCTGTGACTTCCTCAAACGTTTTCCTATTAAACTATTTAAATATACAAAAAATCATTTAATATTCTGAAAATAATTACTGTGTAGACAATGGCATTGCCAAGTACCTCAAAGACCACCCCCAAGCCCAAGACCAAGCGCACGCCCACTGCCACGCCCGACCGGCTAAGCCACAACAACTTTGCAGCAATTAAGCCCCAGGCCAGTTCTGACATTGGGCCCAAAAGCGAGGCGAGGCGAAGCGGGGGCCGAGAGCAAATAATTTTTAATTGTGCTGCACAATGCTGTAAAATTAATTCATCTTTTTCACACTCAAATAAATTGCTGTTGACGCGACAACAACTGGAATGGAAGGGGTTGGGAAGGGAAGGGGGGCGAGGTTAAGGGGTAGGAAGTTGTTGTCGCCGTCGTCTGCTCAAGAGCGTAAATAATTACATTTTCTTTGTGCTGTTGCCAAAACGTTGCAATTCCTGCTGCTGCTGCCCCTTAAACTCGAATCCTCAGCCACCCACTTGTCCCTCATCTGCTGCTTTTGGCTGCAACCTGTCACTTGCCGGTGGCGAAAACGACAAAAAGTCCCAAGTGAAACAAAACAAAACACAAAAGTGCATTTGCGCGGCGGCATACATGGCGCATACGTAACGTGCTGGAGGAGCAGCAATTTCTTTAATATATTTACGCCCAATGCTTGTTGCAAAACAAACAATGACGCATACAATTTATATTTAATTATGCGCAAATTAGTCTGCTCTACCCTCCACTTCTCCTCCGGCAGCCCGCAATCACACACAAAAAACCAAAGCAGTTGGAAGTGTTGGCACATGACAAACACTCGCAACTTTTTGCCCCGTATATACCGAGTATAGTATAGTACATATAGTAGATGCGGGTCTTGGAACTGCGAGTTGGGTTTTTGTTTACGGTTCAGTTTCAGTCGGATTTTACGCTAATTTCCCTAGCCCGTTCATTGCGGCCTTGTTGCACTTTTTTTTAGTTATTGTATTGCATGCTTGCAAGTAATTTGCCGAAAACCTAATGAATATTCAGCAGCCGGGGGCAAGCAATAGCTTACAGTTATGACCCCAGCTAAGGCATCTCCCTTTCTCTCCCCGCACTAAATGCCGGCCGTAATCTATCCGTTTAAATTATTCAATTCCTATGCCCCGGCTGCTGTCGGGATTTGAACACCTCACGAGTTGGAAGAAACCCGAAGGCTGCCACGTGGCAGGATTAAAAGCTCTCCGGGCGATGGGCAAACTGTGCGTATACGCAGTTAATATAAGAAGAATAAGAGTCGGGAAATGAGGAAATGGTCTTTCAGAGATACAATTGACATAGCCCAGAAATGAATGGTAAGACTTTAATGATTAAAGGACAGAAATTTACATCAAAATCATGATATAATAATATTAATAATTTTTAAGCATTGATACCCTTTATTTCCATTTTTCCCCCTTTAATGAGCTCCCCAATCGATGCCCCTAAAATATATGAATATTTTCTGTGCGCAAAATTCTTTTGGCAAGAATCTCTATCGCTGGTGCTCCAAACTTCTACGAAAAGTGCTTCAGTGAAGAGACGTTCTTGCCGTGAAGAGTTTAACAATTTAAGTTGAGCAAGAATCTGCACAACTTTGTCAATCGAATAGTTTTGCTAGCAGGAAACTTTAAAGACACACCTCCGGGGAGAAGGACCCCACCCCCTTTTAATTTATCCCGCCTTCCTGGCCAACATTTCCACACTCATTAAACGGTGCACATCAAGTTGGTCCCCGAAGCCCGCACAATTTATGGCGGCAACTGCGAGTTGCATGCCTCCGTAATTAACTTGTTGTACCGCCTCGCATGCAGCACAGTGGGGCGCTTATAGGGGCTGCAGACGGTACAGGTGGCACTGCGGTGAGGGTGACTATTATTAGGAGCCCCGAAGCGATGGCAGGAACACTGAATTTATGAATGGCACACGGTTTGGGGGAATTTCGAGGGAGGGTCATGCAAATGCGAGAAACGATACGACTGTACACTGAAAACAAACAAGAACATCTATAAATGATGGATTTGTTATAAAGCATTACCTAAAATTTTATTTTTAGCAGTGATAATACATAAATTATAAACTATTATTACCACTGTTTTTAGCTAGGTCCTTTAATATTTTAATAATAATTTTAATAATATTTTTAACAGTAATAACTTAACTTAACTTAACTAATAGCATTTAGATATTTCTACATTTTTATTCTGGATTTTCTATTTGTGATTTTTATTCTTAGCTTGTTAATTTTTTTTCTATATGTTTTTCTTTAATTTTTTTATTTTACATATTTTAACAACAGTGATTCAATTGCGTGGGGTTCCTTTCTTTTAATTGAAACCTCTAAGGAATTACTCTCCATATGCCAATGTGACTGAAATTCGCCAACTGTCGCTGACAAGCAAAGGAAATAATACATCGCTGAAAAACCACGTCAAACAACAGCGTC